CTTCTAAAATTAAATATGCACATTTTAAATATTGTATATTTAGTTTAAATAACAGAGATTAACCCTCTTAAAAGAACTTTTTTTTAAAAAAAATATGATGGTTTATGTTTTAGTTCTGAGCCTTTCTTTCTAATTATTCCTTCCTTTTTTATAAGATTATGTTTGTGTGTATAGCATGGGTAGGGAGGGGTCCAGTAGAAGATGTCATTGGATCAGGTGTGAGTGCTAAGAAACGGACAAGGCCTCTGCAAGAGCAATGCTGTTTAACTGCTCAGCCATCTCTCTAGTCCTACTCATCTTCGTTTTTTTCTTAGAGTGTGTGTGTGTGTGTGTGTGTGTGTATGTGAGTGTGAGAGTGTGTGAGATTGTGTTTGTGTGGGGGTGCGTGTACATGTGGAGGTCTGAGGTTGATCATCTTCGGAATTGTCCTCTGTTTTTCTACCTTGTTCAATGACGTGGAGTCTGTCAATCAAACCCTGTGAGCCCTGCTAGGGTTAGCCTCCCTAGCTAACCCGCCCAGAGGGGATGGAGTGTGTGGGGACCGTGTGCTGGTGATGCCTCCTGACCGCCTGTTTCTCTTCCTTGTTTTAGCCACTGTTCCTTCATCATAGAAATGCTGAAGTCTTTGCCATCAGATGAGCAGAGTCGAGACCGGCAAGCCCGAAGCATCTGGTTTCTAGATGCCCTCATCAGATTTCGAGCTCAGAAAGTGGTAAAGGGAAAAAGTAAGCCCCCCACAGGCACTTTATCCTGTTATCTTCAGTGGTTGCTTGTCTGTGGATGTCTGTCTGTCCAGGCCCTCTCTGTGCGGCCTGCCCTTCCTGCTGGTCCCACTGTCTGCCTGAGCCTCGCAGGGCTCTCTTCTCTGTATTTCTTTTTCTTTTTTTTTTTTTAAGTACTTATTTATTATGTATACAATATTTTGTCTACATGTATTCCTGCAGGCCAGAAGAGGGCACCAGACCTTATTACAAATGGTTGTGGGCCACCATGTGGTTGCTGGGAATTGAACTCAGGACCTTTGGAAGAGCAGGCAATGCTCTTAACTGCTGAGCCATCTCTCCAGCCCCCTTCTCTGTATTTCTTTCATCTGCTCTGGAAATGGGGACAGGGTGGATGGGGCTTCCAGAGAGCACATGCCTGCCACGGACCGTCCCTCTCGGAGACCACTATCCACGGGAGAACAGGGTGAAGGATAGGATAGCCAGGATACGATGCAAGGGAAATGACAGACAGACACACTGTGTAGTGAAAATCTGCTGCAATTTTACTTCTGTAAAGCTTCAGTTTTTGTACAAAACAGATCAAAGGACTTGGCAGGCTCACTGCATCACCCCACTCAGGGTTCCAGACATAAATCAAGGTTAAGCATAATCAAAATAGAGCTTCTTCTACGTGCTCCTTTCTATGTGCTCCCCTCTACGTGCTCAAGATGTTGGCAAGGACTTTTAGTTTTGTTTTGTCTCTTAGAATTCTGTCTCACACCATTATTTACCTTCTACCGTGGGAGACCAATTCCCAGGGTCCTGTGTTTAGCTTTCCATCTATATAGTTTTTTATTCTTTGCTCCATATTCCCTAATAGTTTTCTCATTTTCTCAGGATAGTTCCTATACCAATATATTAAAGCTGGTCTCATGTTTTCAATAATTTCCTTTCTTTCCTTCTTACTATAAAGACACCAGGGCTTCTGAGATCTAGCTAATCTTTCCATAAAGGGGAATTTTCTCTAACTCTCCTTTTCTCTCTAAATCTGATTCACTATGATGATTCCCTCATAACATATCAACTTTAGCTGCTTCTGTTTCATAATTAATAAAGTTTCCCAGGCTCATGTGGCGTGGGGCATACTTCAGTTCCTCAAGGACTGCTTTAATGAACGGTGGAGCCAAGCCAAGGACGTACTTTGATCTCTTGGTAAGCGGTCAGCTATACACAAGAAAATTAAGAAATACAGAGAAAGATCAGACAAGGTGTCAGGAGGGCTCGCTCTCAGGGCCATCTCCAGATACGAGATCTGCCTATGGCATCAGGTCCTCTCTCGACCACTGATTGCCAGGGGGACCACCTGGGGCTTCGCTCTAAGAAGCTCTAACCCCATTCCTTCAGCAGGCAAAAGCCAGCGCAGAGGCATTTTGTCACTACACAGCAGTCACTGCTGTGGACGTGGCACATGCCCTGCTTGTTCTGCCTGGTAAAACACAGTGTCCAGGTCGGTCAAATGAGAGGAATAACCTGCAGGAGGCTGTTAGAATAAACATCAGTTACAGGAGGAGGAGAAATCGGCTTTGCTTGTGAAGAAGCTTGGGGCAGGTGGTTTTGCTTTTTAAGACAGTCTCACTACACAGCCCTGGTTGGCCTGGAACTCACAGAGATTCATGTGTCTCTGCCTCCCGAGTGCTGGGATTAAAGGTGTGCATGGCTATGCTTGCCTTTTTTTTTTCTTTTTGTGGTGTGTGGGGGATGTGGTGATGGTGTGTTTCACACTGAGAGTGTGAGGCAGTTTGTGATGTTCCACCTGCTTCTAAGACCATACGTGGTGGTCACACACTCATGCCCTCCCCAAGCTGAAAAGCCAGCAGGAGACCCCTGGGGTTTGCAGCACAAGGCGTGTCTGTTCACTCTTCTTGTGGAGAGCACCAAGGATGGAGATGTGCCTGCCTGCTTAACTCTCAAGTTTCGTGTTCTGGTCTCTCGCACCTTCCACCCTCAATTTACTTAGTTATGGGTAGTTATGGGGGGTGCGTGCCCAGTGTACCTATGGTCAGAGGACAGCTTTGGAATCAGTTCTCTCGATATCCATGCGAATCCTTGTGGCACATCTTGACCCACTGGGTCATCTCACCGGCTCCAACTGCAGTCTACTTTATTTTCCAGTATTTTACTGTGTGTGTCTGACTTTAAAGTGGCTGCTTTGGCTCTTAGGCCCCTGTTCCTCTTATCATGTGGTTCTGGCCATTACAGCCCCCACCCACCCACTTACAGCTGTGCCACCTGTGAACTTTGCAGGAAAATGATCCAATGCGACTCTGTGTTCTAGGTGCCCTGGGACCTGGAATCCCCCACATCATCAACACGAAGCTGCTGAAGCACTTCACCTGCTTGACTTACAACAATGGCAGGTCAGGGGCTGTTTCTGTGGAAAGGAACGCAGGTGGGGGTGTCAGGGAAGTCTGGGGACTCGGGTGCAATTCCATGTCCAGAGATCCAGCACCAAAGAGTCACTGCCGTCTGGCGGTCTTCTGGGGACATCATACACTGTCCCTCTTGGAAATGTTCATTTGTCTTTGGCTGTGGGGCACCCTGCAGTGCCGGGCTTACTGGTGAGCAGTGCTGCAGGAAAGGACAGCTACCCAGTGACCTAGAAGACAGAAACTGCAGTGCACCCAGGCCTTGTTTGCCGCTGTTGGATGGGGCTGTGCTCCCTGCTCCCGCTGTGTTTGGAAAGAGCAGGGGCAGCACTGAGGCTGGGTGGTTTTTCCTGTGGCCTGCTGAGCAGACAGTCACAGGCTCCTACAAGGGTTTCATGAGTACATTGCTACCAGCTACCAGCCACCTGGGGAAACGTGGGCGGGGCTTTCTCTGTCTCTGAGAGGAAACATGGGTTGACTTAACTGTCCACTGTGAGACTTGGGCAGCTTGGAAGGAACAGGCTGTGTGTGTGGCTTTGCCTCGCTGTCCCCCAAACTGGGACCACTGACTATAGAGGGTAAGGCTCTGGTGTTCTTACTTAGCACTTGGGCTTTAACTTCATTTCTCCTCCATTGCCACTGACTGCAGTTTACGGAACTTAATTTCAAATTCAATGAAGGCCAAGATCACTGCGTATGCAATCATCCTCGCCTTGCATATAAGTAACTTCCAGATCGATCTGACAGTGTTGCAGGGGGACCTGAAACTCAGTGAGAAAAGGTGAGCACGGCAGAGTGAGGCTGGTCCCTGCGGCCACCCAGGTGGACTCCTCCTGCCCATGAGGCCCTGTTGAAGGGGGTAAAGGGTTGGGGTGTCTCACGGAAAAATCTTGGGACCAGAAGACAATCTTCTGTGAATGAATGATTGGTTGGCAAAAACTCTGAGTGCCTTCTCTTTGCAAGGCTTGATATTGAGTTCATTCACAGTCCTTCACTGATTTCCAAAAAATATTAGGACTCTCAGGTCTGGAAAGGAATAACTTTCTCAAGATCTCACTCCCCAAAAGGGTGCCTGCGCCTTAGGCCTGAGCCTCCCACAGCTTTCTGTTCTGAATAACGCTGTGTGCCCTACATTGCTGTGACTAGGGAGGGATCCTCCGTGGATCTAGGGGTGAAGCGAGGGTAGAAACAGAGAACCCAGTTTTATGGTCTGGAGCACAGTGTGCTCTTCGCTCCTGTCAGACCTGATGACGCACACAAATCATTGTTCCATTTCTTCCTTAGGATGATTGAGATAGCAAAAGCCATGAGGCTGAAGATCTCCAAAAGAAAGGTGACCCTGGCAGACGGCAGGGAAGAGGACCACAGACTGGGCACTCTGTCTCTCCCACTGCCTCCAGCCCTGACCTCAGACCGCCAGTCAAAGCGGAAGAAGATGAACTAGATCTTTCCCAGATGGCTCGCTCTGGCCATGTCACAGCCACTTCTGTCCAGTCCCACTTTTATTTTTTGAAAAAGGAAGCAGACTGGATGTTGTGGTACTTTCCTATAACCCAAGAACTCAGGAGACTGAGGCAGGACAATTGTGGATCCTGGGCCTGTCCGGGACTCTACTGTGCTCCACCACCCCAAGGCCTTACTTTAGCACGGTTATCATGCCTCAGCCAGCATCCCAGCTGTGCCTCTCATGCAGAGATTAAAGGATGGCCTAGGTTTGACTTTGTCTCCCTCCTTTGCTGTTGCTGTGGTTAGAAATGGCAGATGTTTCTCCTGCTGGGTCATGTGCGAGGTTTGGGAGGGTCAGGCTGAACTCTGGGCCTAAAGAAAGGATGATGGTTTAAAAGGAGGACCTGGATGAGCCGCAGCAGGTGGAGGAGGGCCTGCAGTGGGATCTAAATGAACAGCCTACTACAGCACAGCAGAGCCCAGTCAGGAATGATAACCACGGCTTTCCCTCCCCATGGAAACCACGCAGAGGGGCATGGTTGGCGATGAATACAACGTGGAAAGCATGGACCATCATCATGAGGGTCTCACTTGGTTTTGGATTCAGACCTTGACAGACCCGCTGTTGTAATAAAGTTCCTGGGGTCTGGGGAGGGGAGCTGCGCTAGAGGCTTGAGTCTTTTTAGACAGTACCAAATGGTCTTGTGGCCATGGTTCTGCAGGTGAGTTTAAGACAGACTGATTGGAAGCCTGTCATGGGTTCACATGGTGAGGGGATAACCAGCACAGGCAAGTTGTCCTGTCTCCACTGTGGGCTGTGGTGCGCATACACCCGTAGCAACAAAAACGGGGTTGGAGAGAGCTCAGCAGTTAAGAGTCCCACAAACACCTGAGTTCCAACCCAACACCGGGAAGCAGAGACAGGAAATCCATTGGCTTCCTAGCTGCTGGCCTCACTGAAAAGCACTAGTTCCCAGAGTAGCTTGCCTCAACTGGAAAGGCAGAGAGTAACAGGATACCTGGTACTCTGACACCCCCCGCCCCCAGGAAATCAGTTCTCTGTAGGAAACAGACTGCTCCACACTGGATGAAAGAGATGCATAAAACAGCTCATGGCAACACAGTCTGGGCTGGGAATGGTGGCACAAGCCTATAATGCCAACATTTGGGAGGAAGCTTCAGCTAATCCGGGGCAGCTTGAAAAACAAAGCAGTTGGTTAAGAAGCCCACAAGGGAAGTCAGGAGAGGGAGCTGACTCTGAACACCCCTTATCAGAAGAAAGTTCAGAAGATGGGTTTGCCTTAGCTCGGGTGGGCTGCTTTTAAGACTAAGAAAACATAACAGATGTATTTATTTACTACTAGGCCAGAAGATGGCTTAGTGTTCGGTAAAGGCACTTGCTGCCAAGCCAGATGACCCGAGTTCACTCCCTGGAACCCACCTGGGAGAAGCGAGAAGCAGAGAACCAACTTCCCCAAAGTTGTCCTCTGACCTTCACATGTGTGCTGTGACACAGGCTCACATAGAAACACTCACACAAGAGATGTGAAAACAGTTCTAACACCGAGCTCATGAGCTGAGTGGGTACATGCTGAGGGAGAACCCAATCCAGGGAGACATGCTCATGTATCTGAAGCCCCTTGGTGCACCGGGTGACCTGTATGGAGGCAATGTCAGTGGTTATCTCCAGACAGGCCCCTGGGCAGGACTCTGGATGGTATGGAGGCCCCGAAATGTAGCCCTGCAGCCTTGAATCCTGAGCCCTGGTGGGAGCAAACTGGTACAACGAGAGCTTTGATTCTGCGGTCTCAGTGGCACCTGCGGGGAAGCCTGCCGGTCCCTTGGAACTGCAGCAAATGTGTGGGCCCAGTTAAGACCCGGAAGTGCCTCCTTTAAAATATATAGAGCTTTATTTTGGTTATTGAGATTTTCGTAAGTACTTGATTCACAGAAAAGTCATTTCTTACAAAATACCAAAGGCAGCGTTTTATACAGCGACTCATATTGGGGCCACCAGACAAGTGCATGGGCAGTACTGCAGATGGGAAAGACCAGGGTTCCTGTTCCCAGAGTGCTTAGGGAGAAGTCAGAGCTCCCCCTCCCACCCACCCAACAGCAGCACCTAGGGCTCCACAGAACCAGCATGGGATCTGACCCCAAAGGCTGGTGAGGGCCCTGCAGTAAAGGCCAAGTGGGAAAGGGGGTGATCAAGGCGGAGCTGGCCCTGCATGCAGTCCCCTTCCACAGTGGGGTCCAAGCCCACCTTGCTCTCAAAGCTTGTCACATTCACAGTACAGTCTAGGGAAGCCCTTTGGGAGTGGGCCTTCCCATCACTTAGGCCACTAACTCAACTCTGGCTCTGGGCTGGGACTTAAGGACACAGACAGAAGGGGCTCTACCTTCGGAGAGTTCACAGGTAAACAGGCAGGACAGGGTATGGACCCAGAGAGTTCCAAAGCAAGGCAGAAAGTGCTCAGTGCCCTGAGAGGGAACGGGAGGGTGAGGCTGGGGTGGGGGGACACTATCACCGGAGCAACGGGAGTTACACGGAGATGGCAGTGTCTGAGCTAACCCTGGAGTGAGAGGTGGGGCCTGCACACACGGAGATAGCTGGGATAGCTGGGAGGGCATGCCGGGAAGGAAAACAAGCTCAAGCCAAGGCACAGAGTGGGAAACACGGTAGGGCTGGTCTAGGCAGCTGGTCATCCATGAGGCTCCGGACACGCTGGAGGGCACCTCCACCTAGACAGGCTGAAGCTTGCAGGGGCAGAGTAGTGTCCACGCACAGCCCTAACCCTGTGGCAGGCACTGAGCTAATGCTTTGAACCTGGGGGCTCCTTAGGGACAGTGGAGCTTCGTTCTTCACACGGCCCAGCCCAGCACCTGCCTGCACACCTGAGGCAGCCACCTGCCCCTCTTATTTTAGTGTGTCCCCTCATCATTCCTGGGACAGCTTTTCAGGAGGACCTTCTTGCTCCCAGCCCCTTCCTTGCTCCCAGGGCCATGTGCCAGTCTGGAACTGTCTTTAAACACTGCAGTCCCCAGAGGCAGCTGGGAGGCAGTCCTGTCCCCTGAGGGACCAAGAGGGCAGGCCCTGGAAAGGCAGCAGTTGTCTTCCTCACCACAGTTACTTTCCTTGATCAGAAGGACTCTCTTCCCTGAGAAGAGTCTAGGTTTGGTCTGTGTAAAGTGAGGTTCTCTGTAGTGTGGAATGATTGACCTAAAATCTGCATGTGCTGTTTGACCCTCCCTAGTTCTTCCTAACCTCTAAGTGCTGGAACATTCCCAATTGCTCTTACTTTTTCTCCTGGGGGAATGTTTCCAAGGTCCTTCCTGATAAAGGCTGTGGAGTAAAGGGTTTAGAAGTACCTTGTTCTTAGTCCCCAGGAGGCCTAGGACCCTCTTTTCAGGAGTGGTGGTGTGTAGGATGGGGGTGGGGCTGGGAGTCTTCCCAGGCTTAACTTCCATCCCAAGAGTCTTAGCCTCTAGCTCTTCTGAGCTCTTCTACTGGGGCTTGGGGCTGAGGCAAGTCTTCTTGCTTACAGGATAGTACAGAAGATGCTGCGGTTGCTGTGGTAACCACCTTCCACACGGGCTGTGATCCTGGTTGCCATGGCCGTCACCTTCTGCCCACTGTGGGACCCAGAGGAGCCCCTGACTGAGTTTTCAAGGTGAGGCCGTGCTGGTGGATTCACCAGGCGCCAAGTGTCAGACCTGGAGGTGCAGAAGGAAAGCGAGTGAATACAGAGGCAGAGAGCACTGGGTGAACCCCTGCATCTCACCTTTGGCTCCAGTTTTCTGGGTCTCCGAGTTTAAATCTAGGTATGGGTTTTATCTTCTAAGTCAGTGACTGCCCAATAAGGTGGAGTGAGAGACCAAGGGACAGATCCCTGTTGCATTTCTGCATGGAACCTTGGTGACATTTCCTCTGAGGTCCTCAACTCTCCCCATCTTTCTGGATCTAGATGTGAATCAGTGGATTTTATCTCTACCCCTCCCCTCCATGCGCACGCACACCAGCTTTTTTTTTTTAAAGATTTATTTATTTATTATGTATACAACACTCCTTTCATGTATGTTTATATGCCAGAAGAGGGCACCAGATCTCATTATAGATGGCTGTGAGCCACCATGTGGTTGCTGGGAATTGAACTCAGGACCTCGGGAAGAGCAGGCAATGCTCTTAACCTCTGAACCATCTCTCCAGCCCCCGCACACCAGCTTTGTGAGCACAAATAGTCTACAAGTCTTATTTATCATCACCTTCAGGTGACAAGCAGGCAAAGGAGCTGCTGCACCAGTGCATGGAAACTGTTGATGCTGAAAAAGAATGCACGAAGCAGAGAGCGGTGTGCTCCGGCTAACCCGTTCTTCAGGGTTCTAGGACAGCCAGGGCTACACATTGAAACCCTGCCTCAATAAAACAAAGAGACAGAGAATGACTTCCAGGGGGTCTGACTTTCTTCTGACCTTTGCAGACACCAGGCTCATACATGAGGCAGACATGCATGCAATCCATGGGACACTCATGTTACACATCAAATAAAAACCAACAACTAAAGCTGGACCAGCACAGGGTCACTCACACACCCATGCCTGCTGCTGGACTGGCCACAGTCGCCAGCAGAGGAAAGCAGCTGAGACGCCCATCAATAGGTGGATGCAGCTATACCATTTACGGAAAATGGATGGAACGGGAGATAATGACGCTATGCGCAAGAAGCAGACTCAGACAATACCACATTTTGTGCAGAATCTAGATTTAGATTTGTAGGTGTCTTTGTGTTTATGGTATGTGAACACAGAAAAGAGACTGTGATAACCTAGTCTTCACTGGAACATGACTGGATTACAAATTACTGTATAATGGGTTCTCTAAGGAACAGAACCAAACAGAATGTGTGTATGTATATACATACACATATATAGTGAATATGTATATATATTCATTTCCTCTGTGGCCTGTCTATCTATCTATCTATCTATCTATCTATCTATCTATCTATCTATCTATCTATCTATCTATCTATCTAAAGGGAATTATTTAGGCTGGCTTACAGGCTGTGGTCCAGCTAGTCCAACAACAGCCATCTACTAACAGAAGGTCCAAGAATCCAGGAGTTGGTCAGTCCCAGAAGTCTGAGGAGTATGGAAGACAGCTTGAAATGTGGGTGGCACCTTCCTGAGGCCTGAGGGTCTGACAGAAACAGAGAGGAGTCAAGCAGAAGCCTGCCATCCATTGCCTGCTTCGCGACAGCAGACACGATGTGACCAGCTGCCTCACGCTCCTGCTGACAGGGCCAGAGCTGACCCACCCGCCATGGCTTCCCCACTGTGTTGGATTCACTCCTACACTGTGAGGGAGAATATGCTCAAGCCAGGCCCAGTGTGTCTCACACTCTCTTCCTGCTGCCTTCACATCTGGATGTAGAGCTCTCGGCTACCTCTCCAGCACATCTGTCTGCGTGCTGCTGTGCTCCCCACCGTTAGGACAATGAACTAAACCTCTGGACTGTCAGCCAGCCCCAGTGAAATGTTTCCCTCTACAACAGTTGCCACGGTCAGGGTGTCTCTGCACAGCAACAGAGACCCTACGGCAGTTTATACTGCCTTGTTTTTCCCGCTGTGCTGCAATCTTGTGTGAGAAGACTGAGGCGATGCACCAGCAAACGAACTATGTTCTAACAAAACTTACTGCCGAATACTGAGCTTGCAACTTCTCTAAAACACTCAGGGTCATTTATGAGGTTAAAGTAATGACAGTTTCCCAGAGCCCACTCACAAACAGGTAGCAGAAGAGAATTAGTAACACTGCCAACCTCTGGATGCCATTCAGGCCTTGAGAACTAGACGCATTCGTCACAGTTTCAAATGCATCCAAATGATCTTCACACTTTTTTTTTTTTTTTTTGAGATATTCCAACTCGGGCTGACCTCATACTTGGTGATCCTCCTGAACCAGCCTCCCCAGTGAGTAAAGGCATGAACCATATCCCAACGTTTTGTTTGTATTCCTTATCTTAGAGGGTATGGTGACCATTCAATTATCCAGAACAGAAAATTTCTGAAAAGAGGATGGGGGACTATTTCAGGAGAACAAGGGTGGCCAGCAAGAGGGGTGCAGCAAGAGTAAGGACAGGCAGCGGGAGAGCACTGTACTAACGACACCTGTGTGGAGACGCAGTAACAAATCCACTGCTTTGTACGCTATCCACTGTTTGTACGTTGGAAACAACGAGCGACTCACAGCAATGCACCAGGCCAACTACGCTGCATTTGGCTAACAGAAGGAACAGATTCAAGACAACACGGCCAGCATCTGCGCGGGTGCTGGAACCCCAGCTCGGGTGCCTGTGCTCACACGGCAAGTGCTCTACCCAGGGGCCATCTCCAGAGCTCACTTACTTCTTCTTGAAGACCAGGAACTTATTGTTCTGCATGATGCATTCTCGGTTGTTAGTGATCTGCTGGAAGATGGTCTTGTTGGTCTTCCCCTGGAAGATGATGTTCTCCTGCACCAGGGCCTTAGCACGGCCCCGCACTGCAATGCCGTAGGCGCGGAAGGAGTGGATCCGGTTCTTCAGGACCTGGAAGAAGCAGCCACAGAGAGTCACAGAGACTCACAGATTGGAAGCTGGGCAGGTGAGTGACTGCTAGGAAACCATGGGGTCTAAGTGTGTTGGAGAGGTCAGATGGAGCAAGGGAAGCTCTGGGTGGGCACAGAGGCCAGCCTGGTGGAGCCACTAGAGTCCTAAAGTTGATGGACAGGCGGTAGGAGGGCCGAGCTGGGGACAATTCTTCCCTCTGTATGCTGTGAATTCCATTGGTTAATAAAGAAACTGTCAATCCGGGCGGTGGTGGCGCACGCCTTTAATCCCAGCACTCAGGAGGCAGAGGCAGGCGGATCTCTGTGAGTTTGAGGCCAGCCTGGTCTACAAGAGCTAGTTCCAGGACAGGAACCAAAAGCTACGGAGAAACCCTAAAATTCAAAATAAATAAATAAATAAATAAATAAATAAATAAATAAATAAAATAAAGAAACTGTCTTGGGCCTGTGCAGAGAATAGAGGTAGGTGGGGAAAGCTAAACTGAATGTTGGAAGAAAGAGGGTGGAGTCAGAGAGAAGCCATGTAGCCCTGCCAGAGATAAACCCGGAACTTTAGCAGGTAAGCCACAGCCACGTGGTGATACACAGATTAATAGAGATGGGTTAAACTAATATGTAAGAACTAGCCAATACTTTGTGGGAACCTAGGCAGTTTGGATGCTCACCTTACTAGACCTGGATGGAGGTGGGTGGTCCTTGGACTTCCCACAGGGCAGGGAACCCTGATTGCTCTTTGGGCTGATGAGGGAGGGGGACTTGACCGAGGGAGATGGAGGGAAATGGGAGGTGGTTGCGGAGGCAGAAATCTTTAATAAATAATTAATAAAAAAAAGAACTAACCAATAAGAAGCTGTGCTAATGGGCCAAGCAGTGATTTAAATAATATAGTTTCTATGTGATTACTTTGGTTCTGGGCAGCTTACCTTAGTGTCAGACCTGGGCAGCAACTGCAGTCCACTGCCCCGGTTGCCAATGATGTCATTTTCCACAACAGCAGTATTGTCACCCTTAGTAATGATGCCATGGCCTCTGTTGTCATAGATACCGTTGCCCCGGAGCTCCACCTTGCACTGGGCTTCGACCTTGACCCCACTCTGGCGGTTGCAGGAGATGCTGTTGTTGGTCACCCGCGTGAGCTGGCTGCTCTGAACAATGGTGATGCCTCTGTCCCCGTTGGCATGGATCACATTGGTGACGACCTGCAGCGCCTCGCTGCTCTGGACAAAGAGTCCTGACGCTGCAGAGTGTGGGAGTGGGAAGAGCACAGGAGATCCTGGAGTCAGCTCTGACAATACCAGCCAGAAGGAGCAGCATCGCCTCAAGTGTGCACTCCAGGATGGTAGGGAAGAGGCGCGGAATCCCTGCTAAGGTGGCCAGGAACACAGGCTGTAAGAGGACCCCTTGTGTTCAACGGTCCTCCGGCCCGAGCTCCCACCCCAGGTCTCCTACAGCCTAGCAAAGGGACAGTGACAACGCCTTGAAGAGGCAGCGTGGAAGACGAGACCCAGGCTGGTTCAACAGCAGCATGGACCAGCCTCTTGGTGACACCTGTGCGGTTTCCCTAGCTTGGAGAGTCACCTTACATGGCTACCAGGCAGCAAAGCTTCACGAAAGGAATTCTCTCCTGGGGGTGTGCTGGCAGAACTCACTCCCCTGGGGCTGCTGCAACTGATCTCACTGCTCCATGTCACTCCAGAGGAAAGAGCCTTCCAGGACCCATGAATCTGTTCTCTTACTCCATCAGCACTGGTGAGTCTTACCCCATAGAATACGCCATTGGATGGGGCTGGAGAGATGGCTCGCTGGTTAAAAGCACCTGTTGCTCTTATAGAGCACCCGGGTTTGAGTCCTAGCACCTACATCCTCTCATCAGCTCACAATCATCTGTAATGGCATTTCCAGAGGGATCCAACGCCCTCTTCTGACGACCATGAGTATTACACATGAATGTGGTATACAGATACACATGCAGGTAAAACACTCACACACATAAAATAGAATAGAATGAATAAATCTAAACAGAAAGTAAAGCCAACTAAGACTTTATGACCCCATGTCATTGGGTATGGGTTAGGGCACAAATCCAAGGAAGACAGGATGAGGGGATGAGTCTGCAGTCAGGAAGTCCTTGCTGGTGTGGGATGTATAGGGAGAAAGTGAATCTCAGGCAAAAGCAACACATTAGTGAAGTCAGTGGGGCAGAGGGAAGAAGAGATGGATTTGAGTTTGGGGGAAAGTCCAGGGGCTGAGTAATAACTGGGTAGCTAACGGAGCTAGGACAGGTTGGGCCAGTGCACGGAGAGCCCCAGGACAGTGGGAGCCATGAAGGTCACCACAGGGGCTGGAGCACACTCACCTCCATTGTGATTAATACTGTTGGACTCCACGAGAGCTACGGTGACGGGCCTGCGCAGTGGGTCGTCCTCTTTCTCCAGCTCTGTCTCCCAGAGGATGGCGTCCCCATCCTCACTGAAGTTCTCCTGGGCCCCGTGGCCTCCAGGGAACTCACCGGAGCCATCCTTCTGGCTGAACACTGCCACTCCATACAGGCCGTTGTAGCTGACATGGTTGCTGGTGACATGGGGCAGGCTGGAGGACATCATCCACACACCACAGCCTTTGTTAGCTGGGGTCACAGAAAAGAGCCTGTCACCGGCACCCAAGGATAGGTGACGCAGCACCCAGTGTCACCCCAAAAGGGGAAGTAAAAGGTACTGAGGCAAGTCGCCTCATAGCTCTGGCTATGGGCTTCTCCTGCAAACGCAAGGGACAATGACCAATTCACCTCACTTTCTAGGATCACACCTAGGGTGTGAAGTGCTCCGAGAACTGCCAAGGGGACACCAAGGCCTCTGTGAGGAGGGAGCAGGCTCAGTGTGAACCCCGGTCCTACCACTTCCTAGCTGGGACCCTGAGTGAGTAACCGGACTTGTGTGCCTCAGGCCCTCATCTTTAAGTTGGGGCTGATGGCTGACAAAGCACACAGAGTTAGCCACAGATATTAGATCCCGGCCAGAAACGCTCAGGCTTTGCTTAAAGTCACATGGTGAGAACAGTATTTTTTTTGAAATAACCCTGTTTTTATGTTAAATCTTCCGCTGTTTGCATTAAAGGGATGGGAGGAGTTAGATGCCCAAGAGCTGGTGCTCACACGGGCCACTGTGGCAGACAGCTCCCTGCCTTTTACTATTTTACATGGAGATGGAGCACTGCTTGCTGACCTCTGGGCTTAACTTGGGTCAGGAGGTAGAAGAGGAGACCCCTGCTAAGAGGCCCGAGATTACACACGCCTGTTCTACCAGGGAGGTTTTTGAGGCCTAGAGGAACTGACTGCCTCCTCAGAACCCACTAGCTGAAGCTGAGACCTGGGCCTCCTGCAGCCCACGGGGCAGGAACACACTCCTCACCATAGATGGTGTTTCCCTCTATCAGTCCTTTGCCTTCATCTCCCACGACCACACCGTCCGAGTAGCCAAAGCAGATGAGGTTGCTCCTGAGGACCGGGACGCCGCCACGGCGGATGTCTACCCCTCCCCATTGGTTCTCACGGATGACATTTTCTATGGGGAGATGTGGAAAGGTCAGAACCCCAGGGCCACCTCCAGGGCAGGCCATGATGGCGAGGACAGTTAAAAGAAGGCACTCCCAACCCTCCCCAGAGCAGGGCACGCACACCTATGCTGCCAGCAGCCAGCACCCTGAAACTTACCCACCGGCTGTTTCCGGAAACTCACCCCCTTTCCCAAGGACAAAGTCTGTGTTCCTCTTGTACACTCCAGTGCCTCCACTCACTCTACCCTGCAGCCTTGAGACAGATGAGGAAAACCTCCCCCCATTCCCATACGCTAGTCCTCAGCCTAGGCCTGCCCCATCCCTGGGAGCTACCTCCTCTCCTAGGACTTGGTAGCAGAGTCTCACATCAGAAAGGTGGTCCTTTTAAACACTGCTGCCTCAAGCTGGGTTGGTGGTGGCGCACGCACTTGGGAGGCAGAGGCAGGCGGATCTCTGTGAGTTCGAGACCTGGTTCCAGGACAGGCTCCAAAGCCACAGAGAAACCCTGTCTCGAAAAACAAAACAAAAACAAAAAAAAAAAAACAAAAACACTGCTGCCTCAGCACAGTGACAAGGCGGATGTGGTTCTAGGAACCAGGACACTTCCCTGTGTGATAGCCTTTCCTGCCTCTCCAACCCTATCGCCACCCCTTGCTTGCACACTCCATCCTACGAGCAGTCCCTCTTAGGTGTGAAAGTCTGTCTGCGTAGGTAGGCCCTGCACACGGAGCTGTTTCTCTGGACCCCTTCTACTGCTCAGGTTCTGGATCCTGCGTCACCCTTGAAGTCTACCACGATCACATGACTTCAAGAGCCCACACAGTTCTCCCATCGCCTCATGCCGATGGCTGGGCAGTTTTGTTTGCCCGCATATGCTTTCAGTTATTCCCACGCGCTGCCTTATAAACTGTCCACTCCCCTGGAACAAGGGCTACACACAGTTGATTCTCAATAGTGGTTTTGTTTGTTTGTTTTCTTGTTTGCAATGCTAGGATCTAATCTATGGCCACACACATGCTAGGCAAAGTGGCCTCCGACTGAGTTATGAGTATTTGGTAAATGATAGTTCCTTGTAATCAAGATCCCAAGGCTCCACACCGGGTGGTGGTGGTGCATGCCTTTAATCCTAGAGGCAGGCAGATTAACTCTCTGAGTTCGAGGTCAGCCAGGTCTACAGACTGACTTCATAGAGAAACCCTGTCTCAAAAAACCAAAAGAAAAAAAAAATCCCAGGCTCCAATGATATACCAGGCAGATGTGACCTTTGCTTGGTACCAGAGAAGACAGACAAAACAACACTAGGAGATTCTGTAAAATGTATAATAGAGGAAGTGTCCTGGGCACAGTGGGCATTATCTATGGATGAGGAGAGCTAGGGCAGGCTTCCCACAGGACGTGGTATGAGTTGAGACATAACAGATACGTAAGAATTGGACAGACAGATTTGCAGAGCAGGCAGAAGCTCACATAGAAGTATGGAAACCTCAGACAGCTGTTTAATTGGTGCAGCTGGAAGTGTGAGCTAGCTGGCCAGCAGCTGTCTGTCAGAGATGGTACTCCCCTGTGCTGAGCTGGGCCCTCTTATGAAAAGCATGACCTCCCCACAGAACTGGCACCCCTGAATGCCCACCTGCTAATCACAGGAGGTCTGGGGTAAGCAAAAGAGTGGCTTAGGGGCCTGAAGCGGTGGGGGTGATGCCAGGGGACGGTGGCTTGGCTGTCACCTGCACTGGCTGGCTACAGTTCAAGCAGTTCCTATCATATACCTGTGATGAGGCCCTTGCCATTCTCGTTCACTGCAATGCCGGCTGCGCGGCCCTTGAAGATGTGGTTTCCACTGAAACAGAAGACAGGGAAAGACGTGAGACAAAGGCACCGACGTCATGCTTCAAAGTCCCTTCCTTTAAAACCTTTTCAAAATGTTACCTGTTCGAGTGTGTGTGTGTGCCTGTGTGCACGTGAGTGTGTGCCACTTTTTGAAATCCCATAAACTAAGTACTTGGAAATTCTTATCTGACCTGGGATAGCTTGACCCGGAACTAAACTGATAACTCTGGACATAAGCACTATAATGTCCAACTCTCTGTGGCTTTTCTTTTTTTTTTTTTTTAGATTTATTTATTATGTATACAACATTCTGCCTCCATGTATGCCCGCATGCCAGAGGAGGGCACCAGATCTCATTACAGATGGTTGTGAGCCACCATGTGGTTGCTGGGAATTGAACTCAGGACCTCTGGAAGAGCAGCCAGTGCTCTTAACCACTGAGCCATCTCTCCAGCCCCTCTCTGTGGCTTTTCTGTGCTGCATCAGTCAACACACAAGCCATCCATACAGATGTGGCCATGGTACATGTGCCACCAGGCAAGTCTTGGCGGCAGGAAGAATTTCTAGGATGCTGTACCAAGCTTTCTTAGGATGATCAGAGCTCCACAGCTCTCAGTGCTGTGGTGCTTCAGCTGGGGACCTCAGACTCTTGTGCCCCCTCCCCTCCCCGCCCCTGACCCCATTCCTAAATAAATAAACATGGAGGGAAAAAGCACAGCCTATCCTCTCAGGACAACCGTGCCTTAAAAAGCAGTAACGCTGACTTGAGAGCCTTCCTTCGAAGCTCTAATGTTTCCCAGCACAAGCGAGGTACTCTATGTCCACACATCATGCTTACATAAATGGTCTTCAGCCATGGGATACTATCTGAAAGTAGGACTCGATAAGACATGGAGAACAATGGTATGGGTATGAGCTGGAATCTCCCCAAGTGACACAGGTAAATACCATGCAATAATATTTAGACAAACTCCCATGGAAAGGGCAGGGAAGGCACCACTGTGCACATCTGCTGCAACCAACACCAGCTTTCCTAAAGCTTCGACAGCTAAGGCTTCCGCTCAAAATCTTAGTCCACCCTCCGCAACTCAGCTGGCACAGGCCTGTCTCCATCAGCACAAGGCTCTCTGCCGTTTCTTTCCCCTCTTAACTGCACAGCAGAGACAGAGGTGGACCTGTGGGTACAGAAGGTCATGCTACAGTGCCCATAAGGCACTGACCCACTGGGACAGCCTCAAGCTAAAACACTAGTTGAGACCGGAGAGGTGGCCGAGCACTTGCTGCTCTTGTAGAGGGCGTCTGGCTCTGTGCTGCTGTCTGTCGCCCCTCCTCTTCTCCCTAGGAATAGCACGACAGCTCCAAGAGGGTTCAAGTCCTCTTTCTCCTACTCCTCTTTAGTTGAAGACTGAGCCTTCTAGGGCCTGGTGCATGCTGGGCAAGTTTTCCTCCAACTCGAATGGCACTTCCAGTAAAAGGCCTTCCTACACGGTCTTAGTCAGAATGAATCTTTCCTCTGGACAGCATCATGGTGCCTGTCACAGTCTGTCCCAACTTCTGCTAGGATGGCAGACACACCCAATACTGCCCCTCGCTTCCTCCTGATGACCTACAGCACAGAAAGATCACAGCATGCATTCATGTAGAGACCAGGGTCATCTTTGTTCATTCGTTCATTTATCATGTGCCTGTATGTCTGGGCACATATGTAACAGCACACCTATAGTGTGAACGGAGAACAACCTGAAATAGTCGGTTCTCTCTATCATGTGAGTCCCTGGGGTCAAACTGTTTGTCAGGCTTTCTAGCAAGTGCCTTTTCTCATTCCAGACTAGAGTCAGCTCCTTGAGAACAGCTGGCACTTGCTTGCCTTTGTTATATCTGCTGGAAGTGCACAGTAGCGTCTGCCAAACAGAATGCCTGCACACAGCTAGCTGGAAGGAAGGCAGAAACACCGGGCAGCTGTGTTACTGCGGTGGGACTATGGATGAAGACTATTTTTTGCAGCACCACTGTAGTAAACAAACAGGCTTTCAAATGGAAGAAAGGCACAGAGAAGGGGAGTAAGGGACCGCTGAAGAGCCAGAGAGTCCGGGCAGAGCAGTGCCTACCTCACAACTGGATTTCCGTGGTACAGGATATAAATGCCCGCCTCCTTATTTGAAAAGATTTGGTTGTTCCTGATGACGCCTTTCCCATTGCCAAGGACAACAATACCAGATCGAAGACCGTGGTGGATCTGGTTACACTGCAAGTGAAAGTGAGATGTGGCAGACAGATCCAGCATGTCGGGGTGCAGAGAGCGCACCAAGATGGCCATGGCCACAAGAACACCATCACAAGTTCCCGGGCACACAACACAGGGGCTAAGCTATGGAGCTGCCTTCCTTGCACACGTGTGAGAATGCCAACAGCGGGCAGGGTGTGGAGGTAACACGGCTATATGGCCTTTACTGTTGGGGGCTATGCAAAGTGTCCAAACCTCTCCCGCAAAAGACTGAGAAGCTTAGAGAGGTAGGTATATGTGGCAGGACTTCCCTGCCTCATCTCATTAAGCCTGGACTCCGTTCTGCCTGCTGAAGCTGCCCACCCCACTGCCCGCAGACTCTGCGCATCTTTCTGGCAACGTCGGGAACTCCTCTGTGGAGGCAGCGCATTACCCACCAGCTGCACAGCAGAGGCCCCTTGAGGGGAAGGGATGGGCAGAAGTCACTGGCTGGGTGTGTCTTTTTAATCCAGAGTTATGGATTCTCTCTGTGTTTTCATGGCCAGTTTGGTTAGAACGAGCTAAGAACATCAATCCTGAGTTTAGACTGTCTGAACTCAAGCCCCAGCCCTGTTAGTTGCCAACAAGGTCCTTTACCCTCTGCACCCCACGTTTCCCCCTAGAAAATCATTCTATTTCACAGAATGACTAATAGCTACAGAGAACTTTAGAAGCATCTGGTACGTAAACAAGCCTCACATTCTAAACTCACAATTCCCCAGTTCCTGAAATCTCTGGAAAAGTCAGAACAGAGAGGGAACGAGTCTCTAGTCTAACGTTCACACAGGCAAGGATTTGTGTGTATGATACTCGTGTTTGTGCACATGTATGGATGTGTACATGAACATAGGGACCAGAGGCTGATGCTGTGTTGGTTTGCATCACTCTGAACCTTGAGGCTTGGCCTCTCCCGTGAGCTGGGACTTGCCAACTGGACTTGACCCGCTGTCCAGTAAATCCCAGGGACCTTCCAGTTTCCACCTCCCCAAAGTGAGGATTACAGGGGTGTAGCACCATGCCTCTTCTTAAATTTGTGTGTACGTGCACATGTGTGTGCCATATGTGTGCAGGTGTATGCAATTCCTTGAAGCTGGAGTTATAGAAGTTGAGAGTTGCCTGATGTGGCTGCTGGGAACTGAACCCAGGTCCTCCGGAAGAGCAGTTAAGAGCTCTAAACCACTGAGCCGTCTCTCCAGCTCCCCATGCCTATTGTTTCCTGTGAACGCTGAACTTAAGACTTCACGTTTGCAAAGCAAGCATGGCATCAACTGAGCCATCTCCCGGGCCACATATGCAAGGATTTTATGTAGTTTTTATGCTGGAAAAACCCTAACTGCAAGTCAAGTTTATAATCCCCAAAGCTCAGGAGGCGGAGGCAGGAGGATTAAGAGTTCACATCAGGTTCACCTGGTATGATGCCAGCTTGAATTACAAGAGAACCTGTGTATCATTCTACCAACCCCATACCAAGAATAAAGCAGACTTCACCTGCTCTCACGTCTACAAAATCCCCCGGAGGATAAAGTATCCCTGTCCTTTCCTACAAAGAATGACCGAGCAGACTGGCTTCAATTTTAGATTCACGTGCCATTTAGGATAGACGGTGCCTCTTTACTAGAATCAGTTTCATAGCCAGACACACGAGTTCTGATGAGGTGCTGAGAAAAATGCCCTGTCCAGCCCATCTTTTTCCTATTGGTGTGACGATCTCAGGAAGGGACTTGTCCAAAGTCATCGCTCAGACACCTAGAAAGAAGTCATGAGGACACACAAAAACGGGCAGGAACCAATCTGAACTACTTAAACATCCTCAGACAAGGGTTCTAGAAAATGAGACCAGGCTAAATGCCAAGAGGATGGAGAAAAGTACCAGGATGAGTGGGTTGGATTTCTTCCGAATGTCCACACCAGCCTCTGCGTTGTGGTAAATGTTGTTGCCAGCGATCAAGCCTCCACCCTCCAATCGAAGAAAGATGCCTGATGCCCGGCAGCGGTAAATATCATTCCTGAGCATGACAATCTAAGCAGAAGAGAGAACAAAACATTTCTTTGGTCAAAGGATGGTCAAAAACTATCAGAGGAGATGGTTTAGGGGGTAATGGACTTGCTGACAAGCCTGACAACACAAGTTCACTTCCCAGGATAGTGAGAGGAGAGTTGTCTGGACCTCCACACTCATGCTGCGGTACGTGTGCACGCGCATGTGCACATGCACACACACACGGAATACACATGTGCACACACAGAGACATACACATGGGTACACACGCACATATACAGACATGTACACACATACACTCACATGTACCACATACACATGGTCATACACAGGTGCACACACACGCATACACAAACGTACACACATACACTCACACGCACCACACACACACACACACACACACACACTGTGTAGTAATAATAACAAACCCTACAAGAAGAGCATGCAAGTTTTTCCCTCCCACACAGTCCCAGCAGTTCACAGTTTGTAAGAGGGGTGCCTCTCTGTGCACCCAATCTTCCAGGCTCGTTTCAGAGGACACCATCTCCCTATACACTGCGACACTTCCTTTCGCACTATGTACTTCGAGCCAGAGTTTTTCTAAAGCTCAGAAGCCTGGCCCTGGGCTCATGGGGTGGTGGAGAGAAGCTTACAGAGCAAGCCAAGCTGTCTTTGTTAGGCCTCAAACCCAGGACAATCAGCTGACCCGGGTGCCTACTTAACATATCAAGTGGACTTGCCACCAGGTTCTCTCAGCATCCCTTATTCCCTGTCGTGGGGTTCTTTTGGCCCCATACCCCGCCACCTATCCTAAACTTCTCCAGCCCAGAGACCGGGCTACCCTTCCTCATTTCTCTTCCCTGTATACCAGACATTTTGGTCACCCAACCTTTTTTCCCTTTTTGTCTACCCTTTACCCTCCTGACCTCTTGGTCTTCTGGCCCTCCCCTCTTCCTCACAACGTCCAACTCAGGGCCACTACTCTGGACTCTCCTAGATGTCCCTGCCTTTGCCTGCTCTCCCTATTACCTACAATAAACCTGCACCTCCCCCATACCTAGGAGCAGTCATGTCCTTTTTTTAATTTTTTTTTTCCCCATTCACTTCATGCTCTTGAGCTTGCTCTAAAAAGTGTGGCCAACAATGACTTCATCTCCAGGGACCACCTGTCCTGGGATCACAGGGCTGCACCACCACACACTACTTTATGTAGTGCTAGACAGTGAACCTGGCACTACCGACTGAGTCACGTCCCTAGCCCATAGCAGTCACTTCCGGGTCTGTCTTTCCCACTGAGCCTTCATCAAAATCCACCTGATTCCAAGTGCTGATTCCACAGCCAGTGCTGAGCTCAGCGCTAAGGGATTCTCCCTCCAGATTCCCTCCCATTTATGAAACCAAGACCCATGATTTTTTTTTCTTGCAGTGCTAGGGTTCAAACTCAGGCCCTTATACCTACGAGGCAAGCACTCTATCACTGAGATACACCCCAGCTCACGGCTTTTGAGGCACAGCCTCACTGTATAGCCCGGCCTCATCTGGAACTCACGGGCTTTCCTGCCTCTCAGGTGCCAGCCATTACAGCCATGTGCCACCACTTCCAGCCCATGGCCAAGCCTTAATTTAAAAAATATTATTTAGTTAAAGCTGAGTATGATGACGCACGCCTTTAGTCCCAGCACTGGGGAGAGAGGGGAGGAAGGCTAGAGGTCAGCCTGAGCTATATGGCGAGGCTCTGTCTCACACAAAAGAAAACCAGAAAACAAAAAGTAGTTACGAAAAAAAAATTTACAACCAAAAAATTAGTTAAGTGATGGGGCAATGGTTTAGTTAGTGAAGTGCCCGCTGCATGGATGAAAGGACCCGAGTTCAGTCCACACCTGCACATGCACACGTGTGCACACACAGATTCATTTTTCTAAGAAAAATGCCTGCTCCTGTTACCTATGGATCTTTCTTGGTGTAGCTACTGGTATGTCAAAACTACTGATACTCTAAACTGTTGTGAGATAATCTTTTGGCACACTGTAAAGATGTTGTCTCTGCCTAAGGCACCTGATTGGTTTAATAAGGAACTGCAAGGCCAATAGTGAGGCAGAAGAGATTACGAGTTAATAGAAAGTAGTTTAGGTATAAAACTGGATTCATCAACATAGGATAGATAGTAGAGTAATTTCTCCAAATTTGCTAAATACAAATGAACTGAACACTGTAAATGTAATTCTTACCTAACAATTGTTCTTGCTGTATATAGTTTTACTCTGTTAGAATTAAAAACTTTCCTTTTAATTAGACAAAAGGGAGAAATACTGTAGGATAATATTTTTGTACATTGTAAAGATGTGTATTCGCCTAAAGTACCTGATTTGTTTAATAAAGAGCTGAATGGCCAATAGTTAGGCATGACGGGTTAGGTGGGACTTCCGGGCAGAGAGAGGAACTCAGGATGAATGTAGGTGCACGAGGAGGTGCCAGCCATACCCAGAGGAAGTCAGACGTACAAAATGAATGAGAGGGGAAAAGGCACGTGGTAGAACGTAAATGATTAAAAACTGGTTAATTTAAGTTATAAGAACAAGCTGAGAACAAGCCAAGCTAAAGGTCAAGTTTTCATAATAACAAGTCTCACTGAGGAGCTGGTAGCCCAACCGAAAGACCTCCTACAACAAACTAGAGGGTCAGAAACCCGGATGTTAAGAAGTCTCTTTAAACAATGTAGCACAGTGTAGTTCCCACATAAAGGATGTGTTTCTTGTTACAATTTCTTATATGTAGTAAGTATATACATATGTATTGTTTTAAATAATTTTATATTAAGATAAATCATTCTACTAATAAATTATTATTTATTAATAATGCGTGTGGAGGAACGAATACCCCTGTAATCCCAGCACTTGGGAGGCAGAGGCAGGAGGATCTCTGTGAACTTGAGGCCAGCTGTGTCTCACTGTGTCTCCAAAACAAAACCTCAACCAAAGTATGACAGGACAGGACATACTTGGGGGCAAGCAGGGCAGACACTCTGAGTAAGGTACCATGCCCACTGTCTTAAATTAGGGTTCCTACTGCTGTGATAAAAAACAAGTTGGGGAGGAAAGGGTTTATTTGGTTTATACTTCCATATCATAGTTCATCATCAAAGGAAGTCAGGACAGAAACTCAAACAGGGCAGGAACCTGGAGGCAGGAGCTAATTCAGAGGCCATGGAGGGGTGCTGCTCACTGGCTTGCTTCACAAGGCTTGCCCAGCCTGCTTTCTTATTATAGAGCCCAGAACCACCAGCCCAGGGATGGAAACACCCACAATGGGCTAGTCCTCCCCCACCCATCACTAATTAAGAAAATACCCTGCAGGTTTGCCTGCAGCCCGACCTTATAGAGGCATTTTTCACTTGAGGGTCTCTTCTCTCTAAGGACCCGAGCTTGGGTTGACAGAAAACTAGCTGGCACACCTGCCCCGGACTCCCCTCTAACTTTCCACAGAAGTTGCTTTAAATAGTAGGGTAAAGGCAACACACCCCAGGACCCACAGGAAAGAGGAGAACGGGTAAACAAAAGCCAGCTTTACCCCTGGGTTGACAGAGAAAGACCAGACCGGAGGCCCTTCCCCACCTGGGCTTCATACACTAGAACACATTCAAGAAAAGCCCCACCAGGGGCTGGAGAGATGGCTTAGTGGTTAAGAGCACCGACTGCTCTTCCATAGTCCCTGAGTTCAATTCCCAGCAACCACATGGTGGTTCACAGCCATCTATAATGTAGACCTCCGCCCCCTTAGGCACACATGGAAGGAATGATGTACAAATAACAAATAAATAAATCCAAAAAAAAAAAAAAAGCTCCATCACACACAGATATGGGAGAGACAGTGATATGCCAATGACCTGTAAGGACTCATGTGGTTAGGGCCCGGCACTTCCAGAGTCTACAGTGTCGGTCCTCGACAGTACCTTGCTATTGTGTATACACCTCACTGCGTAAGTCAGGTTCCGGAAGATGTTTCCTTCCATCTTGGCTCGGCCATAAGAGCAGACGAAGACGCCACCCTTCCCATCCCGGAAGAGGCACTTGCGGATGAGGCAGCCCTGAACAGAGCTGGCTAGTGCCATGGCTTCCTTGTCCTTCTGCAGCTCCTGATGCAGTGAGTTCAGCACTAGACAGCTGGGCAGCTGAATGGATGCTCCTGGTAGTGGAGGGCCCAGAAAGGAGCCGCCCAGGACAGGGCGCGGGCCCTGCACCTGGTAGGACAGTCTGTACGTGAGCTGCTCATCGTCCTCGTCCTCCCCGCTGGGGCTCAGGCCACCATCGCTGCTCTCTGGAGTCTGGGCCACCCTCTCCCCATCGCTGCCCACTTCTGCCTCCTGGGAGCCAGTCTTGGAGTCCGGTTTTGGAGAGCTAGAGGCTGGGCTCGTAGGACTCTGGCTGCCCTCGATGACAATGTCGCAGGTCCTTGGGCTCCAGGCCTGGTCCCGGCTCTCTAGTTCCAAGGACATTAAAAACTCATTGTCTTCTGCAGGGAGCAAGATGGGAGAGGACTTGATAAGGCCCAGCAGGTACTTGTAGGCCCAGTTTTTATCTGCCGATGGGTGACCCTCAACAGTTACGGAGTTGTTTTCGCTGCCCACAAACTCACAGTTTTCCAGCATACATAAGGGCACATTGTGCAGAAAGACATGGGTGTTTTTGAAGGTGCAAAATTTCACTTGGCAGGTTCCTGGGCCGTGGACCTGAATGTGACCATTCTCAAAGTTGCAGTTGTCAAACTGGACGTGACCCGAAGTGGTCTGGGGGAAAAGAAAGAGAACACACAGTGAGAAGCCTACCCTTGGTTTTGACGGTCATCACCAAGCTACTCCTCCAGGGAGACAGAGATGGAAACCAGGCCCTTGGTTTCACTTCCTACTCTCCTGTAAAAGGCTTGGCCATCAGCTGTCACTCCGAGGACCTGGGGAGTAGGTCTGCATCAAAGAGGCACAAGAATAACTGCCAATCATTGCATCCTTCTAATTCTGTTATCCTTCTAAAGGGCACCTTAGAAACAGGCAAGAAGGACTGAGCACTCCTTTGACTGGGACAGGTTATGGGGTTGGGCCAGCCACAGGCATTAGGACAGACCAGTCTGTGCGGCTACTGGTGTGCGGAGGAGCAGAGCAAATGACAGGTCTTGTCTTCAAAGAGAAAGACAGGGACTGCTGCCAGGGGTGGGGGTGTGCTCTGGCGGCTGACCAGAGCTCTGCTCTTCCAGCCGCGTTAGCCAGGACAAACGGCTTCACCTCGCTAAGCCTCACTTTCCTGTCTGTAGAATGTGGCTTGCTAGTTTATAAATCAAAAGACGGTACTCAGTGACAGTTAGCTGATCTGAGGTCAAAGACACAGGACCTCAGGAGTCTGACTGAAGGACAGGAAAGCACTGAACCTGTTAATTTGACTGGGACCCTGGGCCTGGGTGACAGCTAAGCTTGGGGAGGCCAAACTGATTTATACCCTTTTCTGGATTTGCATAAACCCTACACGATACATCTCAACCATAGGATAAAGCAGCGTCCAATGAGTCTAATCCACAACCCAAACAGATGACCCCTTGAGCAATTAAAAGCCTCTCTATCAGTGACCTGCCTTGGCAGTTTTTGGAGGAGGGTGACATCCCTGACCCCAGGTACTCTAGGTGTTTCCATATCCCTCCATGACTTTCTCTGCTGCCAGTGAAGCCATGTTCCCTCCTTGGTCCTCTCAGTTTTCTGGAGATGCAGTAGAGTTGGCATTCTCATAAGAGATCACTGTTTGTGGGAAATTGTCCAGGCCTTTTCAGTTCTCAGGCAAGGACATCTCAGACCTCTGTGCCTTCTTAGATGGGAGATGGCCATGGACCCAGTACTCACATATGCTGACTGTAAAGATGAGGGGCGGCAGCTGTCCTTCTGAGGCAGCAGCAGAGACCGACGTGAGCATTCACTGTGGGAATCAATGTATTTCAAGACACGAAGCCTTCTATCAATGAATTTCAAGGCATGAGGGTTAGGTAGGGAGCCTTGCTTCTAGGGCAAACTTTACTCCTAGGTCTGCACACCAGCACAGGGACACCTGCTATTCCTTCTGAAATATCCTAGTTCTAAAAAGCAGGAGGCTTTGGGGCTTCCAAGGACTTTGGCATGATATAACTTTATAAACCAGAGGACCTGGTTTGAGTTCTAACCTCACTAATTGCCCACCTGGGAGACTTACTAGCGTCTCTGACTTTTGCTAACACTCCCCACACTTGCCCAAAGCAGCACAGCTACTGATCACCACAGATGTCTGCTTAGACGGAAGCTTGTCTTGAGTATTAATAAGGCTTTGGATCCAAGCTCCGCCCATAAGCCTGAAACCTTGGTTATGTTGTATTGTTAGGCCTCGGTTTCCCTCATCTAGAAAGCCAAGGGATGCAACCTCCTCTCAGGGCTGTAGGAAAGAGGAAGTGAGATGCGGCCATAAAGCACACGTCTGGTGCACACTGAGTGACCCAAAGGGGCCGGTGAGGCGCTGACCAGTCTGTTGTACTGCCAGAGGCGCAGGCGCCATGCTCTTCTGCAGGACCACCTGCTCCTCCACACGTGACCACCCTGTGCTAACGCAGGACGTGCTAGACTAACTAGGTGCCCTTGAGAAGCAATGACTGCTGCACAGGATGAGGTTCGGGTGCTGAGGTCCACTGTCCCCTCTCTGGACAGGCCGCTGTCACCATGCCGCACACTCTGCCACCTCACTGCTCTACCCGGTGCTCGAGCTGATCTGGTTAGGAACAGAATGGGTATAGAAAGTTTTGTCCTTAGCCCACGTCTCATTTCTTATGCAGCTTTAAAGGAAGTGAGGTACGAAGCACAATTCTGTACTATACTGACCCGTGAGCCCGCTTTTCGGCTAGCTCAATTCTCGGGAGTGTGCGCATAGGGATTAACTACTAAACTCTCAGCTCTAACCCAAAAGGGAAGTGCACTGATGAGGGCACGGTTGTGCGGTCCAGTCTGGGTGGCACCCAGCGTGCACCCACCTTATACATGATTGGTGAGAACCAGGCTGGCATGAAGACAAGATTGCACACGCGTGTGGTTGAGCAGTGCTGGTCAATGCTGGCGAGCAGGGCCACCTCACCCAGCTTCCCGTGGCCCACAATCTCCACTGGCACCTTCAGGATGATCTCGCCTTGCTCCTCGTACACACCTGGGAAGAGCACGATTCGATCATAGAGGCTGGCCATGGCTAAGGCACTGCCCAGGCTGTCAAACTCATGGCCCGGCCCAACATTCAAGGTGCGGCGCTCCCTCTTCCTGCGGAACAGAGAGAAGCAGATGGAGGACTCCAAGTCCAGCGCGTTCTTGGTCCAGGTCTTGGAGGCCAGGTAATGCTGCTTGAAGGCCTCCCGCCACGACTCAGGCTCCACATCGGGCTGGTTGGGCCAGTTGGGGTGGCGGCACTCGGTGCAGCCCAGACACAGCTGCCGCCAGCGGGTACTGTCAAGGCTGAGGATCAGCTCATACCAGGCCCTGCAAACCAGGCTGCAGCGGCCCAGGTCAGGCAGGTGCAGGTAGGCTAAGATCACGCGCCACAGCTCCAGGGGGAGGCCACCTGTTTCCATGATCACCTGGGGGAAAGACACAAAAGAAGATTTTTGTCTACTCCCCTTTTACTGTTTCCTTTTTAAAAATAACACCCCCCTCACCCCAGGGAGGAGCAAGTGAACAAGGCACAGCCAATCAGAGGGCTCCATTTCCTCAACAAGCACCGTTAACTTGGTTAGATGAAGAGGCAGCTAAGTAATTAGGGAACCACGCCTCTGGGGGATTCTGTGATGCAGTTCCAGGGATAAGAAGGCCAGGAGGACTCCGACCTAATCCATGTGCTAATCCCTTGATAGATGCACACTATGATGGCATCATCAGAGGTAGGGCAGCTACTGGAAGCAGGACCTGGTCGCATGTCCTTGGAACTGTATTTTGTCCTGTATCTTCCAGTAATACCCTTTCCTCTGCTTCCATGTGTCATGAGGTAAAGGACCTGCTCTAGGCCAGAGAGCTGGCTCAGAGGTTAAAAGCACTTACTGCCCTTCCAGAGGATCTAAAGTCAGATCCCAAAACCCACTCAGGTGGCTGACCACCACCTGTAATCCCAGCCCCAGGGGATTCCACACCTTCTTCGGGTTTCCACAGGTACCTGCACTCAAATGAACATACAAACTTACACATAAAACTAACTAACTATCCTCTTAAAAACCTCTTCTATAAACCACGTATAGCGGCACATCCCTTTAATCCCAGCACTTGGGAGGCGATGTAGGTGGATTTCTGAATTTGCGGTCAGCCTGGTCTACACACAGTGAGTTCCAGGACAGTCAGAGCTAGTAGTGAGACCCTGACTCAAAACAGACAAACAAAGAAACCTGTTCTACCACTTACTCTCTGTTTTGATACTCTGCCCAACCACACATAGTTAGGAGCAGGGTACTCAGTCTGTTACACCAGGTGAGCTCTTGGGCTCAACTGATCCTCTATCAGACAGGGTACTGATAGATCCTCTTGTCCCAGCTCCTCAAGTTGCTAGGAACAGGCACATCCATGTGTCCATATGTATCCATAAGCTAAGTAAATATGTTTAGCTTTTCTTAATATTTTTTTATTTATTATGTATACAATATTCTGTCTGCATGTATGCCTGCAGGCCAGAAGAAGCCACCAGACCTTATTACAGATGGTTGTGAGCCATCATGTTGTTGCTGGGAAATGAACTCAGGACCTTTGGAAGAGCAGGCAATGCTCTTAGCTGCTGAGCCATCTCTCCAGCCCCCTATTTAGCTTTAAAAAAAAAAAAAAAATCTGGTCTGGTGCCCTCTTCTGGCCTGTAGACATACACACAGATAGAATATTGTATACATAATAAATAAATAAATATTTTTTAAAAATCTGTACTGAAATATTGTGTTGTAGCAATGGAAACAGAAAAAGACCACATTTCACAAGGACCCCACCAGGGCTCCAGGTTTGGGGTTCAGGAAGCAAACGTTCTAGCTGCTGGCCTCTCAAGAGGCAGCCAGTTCTATCCTTCCTGCAGATTCACCCTTGTCCCCAGTTCCAGGGGTCTGAGTCTAGAATGAGGTTGGGACCATTAATCCTCCCTTCAGGGTCCCCCGAAGCTCAGATAAGGGTCTCCTTGCATCCCACTGTCTTTTCCCTATTGCTCTATTTGCATTATGTACACGATCCCCATATTATCCACTGGGAGCCGTGCAGCAAGGGGATTTCTCTAACTAGCTAACTCTGTTTTAAAAGTGTGCTCTACAAGTTCTGCCTTTTCTCTCTGCCACTGGGGCCTCTGAGCACGGAATTACAAAGCAACACCAGTCCCCAGGGCCTGTGTGCCTGTAGCGTGACGTCTGTTAAGAACTGGAAAAACAGTGTGTGAGAAAGCAGGTCCTGGGGGAGGCTCCCAACACTTCCACATTTAACATGGTCCTAAGAGGCGAGCTCAGGCTTCCTGTGGTCTCTTCCAGCCTCCCACTGGAGAGCCACATGCCTCTGGGCCACTTGGTGTCCCCAGCCTCAGGAAGAGCAGCAGAGGACTTAGCTCAAAGCAGAGAAGCCTTGAACCTCTCTGAGCCTACTTCCTCACCTTCTGACCAAGAAAAACACTTCTCACAAAATGGCTCTTCTGCCACAGTGTAAAGATTTTGACAATTTCTAAAAAAGTAACATTTGGTTAACAAATACTTGATTGCCCCATTATGAGCCAGGCTCTGTTCCAAGTACTGAAAAACAAAAAAGAAGACAAAGTCCCTACCCTCAGAGACAGGCAAGAAACTCAGCAAATGTGAGCACAAACGCCACAGAGAAGGAAGGCAGGAGTTGTGTGTGTGTGTGTGTGTGTGTGTGTGTGTGTGTGAACACAAACACTACCAAGAAGGGACGCGGGAGTTGTGTGTGCGTGTGTGAACAACTGCCAGGGACTATTTTAGACAGGCTGTCAGGGATGGTCTCTGGCAAAGTGCCCTTGAATAGTGACCTGATATGACAGATGAAGAGAGAGCAAAGTCTGGAGACCAAGTGCTCAGCCAGTTCAGCAGGTACAGGACACATGTAATGGATCAGGACTCTGAAGGAGAAAGTGGACATAGCAGACTTTGAGCACAACGGTAGTCTCCCCATAGAAAGCGCTAGAACGAAGGCTCTGTTCTGGTTTGGCTGTCTGTCTTCCCACTGCTCTTCTGTCCGCCCTGGCCTCAGAGTCTGGGATATTTCAGTTCCTGACCTCCGGCTTGCCCACCTAGACTGACACTTCCCAAAACAGACTGTCTAGAGACTTCCTCCTCCTCTTGACCTTTCCTGAGTGAACTGTAAGCTCCTTAAGGGGAGGAACTGGGTAGGACTGTGTGTAATCTTCCTAGAACTCTGCCCACAGTGGGTATTAGCCCTGCATGAAAACTGTGATAGGATGGACAATGCTGAGACTTCAGACCACTGCCACAGATGCCTGTGTAACCAGGAAACAAACCGAAGCCTGTGCACAGCACTTGCCATGTCTGAGACCACATAGTGGGTTCACAAGTCCGTGGGGAAGCAGATAAGGGTCCTGCTCCCTACCCAAAGATTCATCTACCAAAACAAAAAAAACACCCCAAAACAAAATAACAAAACAAAAAACCCCACTATACCCTCTAACCAAAACAATGCCATCCATCACCAAACCAAAACAAAACACAGTATAAATGGAGGAGCACTCAGTGTTTCGAGAGAAGAAAAACCTGCTGGAATGACAGACACCTGAAATCCCATCAGGAGATGACGGAGGGAGACCAAAGGGTCTAGGCCAATCTAAGCTGCATCCAAGCAACACCCTGTCTCAAACAAAATGCTATTTTCCCAATGTATTATAGTGGTATATTATTTGTGTTTTAAGAAACAAAGCTTGCCTGAAGATCGGAGGGCAAAGCAGCCATACTAGCCAGCCATACAGGCCAAGGAATGGTGGTACACACCTTTAATCCCAGGACTCAGGAGACAGAGGCAGACAGATCACTGTGAATTCAAGGCCACCCTAGGCTATACAAAATTGAATCTGTCTAAAAGAGAAAACAAAGCTCACACAAAGGTGATCCCAACACTTGGGTTCACACACCTTTAATACCAGCACTAGGGAGGTGGAGGCAGAAGCCATATGTGCATATGGCTGGACAGAGAGAGGACTACAAAGGGGAAGAGACAGGAACTCAGTGGAGTGTGGAGTGTGAGGATTTGTGGAGACAGGATCTTGCCCTTTAGGTCTGAAGATTTGGTAGAGGTAAAAAGTCTCTCTAGTGGTTAACTGTTTTGCTTTTCTGATCTTCAGGTTGAACTCCAATATCTGTCTCTGGGTTTTTATTATTTGTGCTACAATGTATTCTTTCATATTTTTCTCTTCACATCCCTTTGAAGTGAACAATTTAAAACAGCATTCCCAGGGTCTAGAGGTTAGTTAGAACACTAATCTTGGGTGTCATCACATACTGACTGGATCAGACGTAACACTTTTTTAAGATTCTGGCAAGTACTTTATTATTTATTTATTCATTTAATTTTCCAAGACAGAGTTTTTCTGTCTCCACACTGACAGTCCTGGCACTCACTCTGTAGATCAGGCTGGCCTCAGATTCAGAGACCTGCCTGCTTCTGTCTCTTGAGTGCTGAGATTATAGGTGTGCACCACCATGCCCAAGCAAGAGCAGCAAGTATTCTTCACTGCTGAGCCATCTTTCCGGCCCCCGGTACGGCATTTTAGCAAAATCAACAAGGAACTTGTGTAGACTCTAAGCTTGAGAAGCCCTGAATTAAAGTAGTTCCATCTTCATTTTACAGATATATGGAGGAGCTCAGCCTGAGAGAACGCAAGTGACACGGGACTTGCCCAAGTCACTGCGCAGAACAGAGGATCAGGGCGGCAGTGAGCTGCATGGGTGAGTGAGAACCTGAGATGTGGACAGGAGTAAGGCTGAAGAAAGTCTGCAGAGAAGCTGGGCGTCAATAAAAGCCTGAGGGGAACCCATTCTGAGACTGATACAGCTCCAGGGTCAGCCAGAAAAGGTAGCTGGTTCCCACAGACACAGCAACTGGAGCCATTAGTTAGTTAACCTGGGGCGCCGCCCTGAGTCCCTGCAGAAAAGGTTCTACACATCATGGTGAAATGACTATACGAAGAGCCCAGTGGGCTTCACATCCTAGCTGGGACTCTGCCTCCCCTTTACTGGCTAACCTTTAGCAGGTGACCGAACTCTGCTTTCAAGTTCTCTGGTCAGATAACGACAAAATGGCCCAGCATGGTGCACATTCCTGCAATCCCAGATCTTGGGTAGTGGGAAACAGGAGGCCAGTGAGTCTGAAGCTAGTCTGGGCTGCAGACCTGGTGTCTCAACAAAACCCAAACAACAAAAACCAATTGCTTCCTACTTAGTTTCAAAGTGGTGGGAGATTAGATTTTTTAGTTTTAAAAATCAATAAGAACAAAGGATCTAGGGAAGCTCAAACCTTTAGTGTCCATGTTGGAGGTGGTGGAAGGGAAACAGGGCTCTCCACCCACACTGCGAGGCATACAAAGCACCAGCTAAATAAGAACAAACTG